TTCGCAATGCTGACTTTTGTGTACCAGATATATCAGTTATTTCTTTAGAGTGCTGCTCCCTAAATCTTTTAGCTTTTGTTTTAAAAAACATAATTCTCAAATGTCATCTTATTTCCTGATCCCTCATTTGGAAATGACAGGTTAACTTAGTACCTCCTTAGCAGTGATGGTTCTCTTAAGTCCTCACCTCCTTGTAGCTTCCTGCTCCCTGCCCCTACCCCCATCCCCAAAATGTGGTGCTTCCCTAGGGAGTGAGATGTATTGTAGATGGAGACCTGTGACAGGGTTCAGGTGTGAAACTGAACCTTATTTTCTGGCTCCTGTAGACTTGAGAGTCTAAAAGGATTCTGGTCCCATAGGGCTGCTCCCTCTGGGATCTCCCATCAGTTACTAACACTTTTCTCCCCTACTACCTTTGTTGCTGCTTGTTTTCTCCTCCTCTCAATGCTCAAGATGGGGACCAGTACTCTGTGGGTATCTCTTAGCTGCTTCTCCACATTCTGTGCATATACCCTGTACTACCTTTTTTTGTTTGTTTTTAATGTATTTGGTACAAGGTCTCACTATGCAGCTTGAACTCATAGTGGTCCTCTAGTTTTCAGCCTCCCCAGCGTTGGGATTACAGATGTGTGGCCACTCCTGGTCTCAGTGGCCAGCTCAGAGCACCCAGGAGCAGAACCAGTGAGTCATGTGGTGCCTGGGATTGAACCCTGGTCCCTGAGCTTGACTAGGCAGGCACTTAGTCCGCTGAGCTATCTCGCCTGCCCTCCATACTGCCTTTTTGAAGACACAGGGTCTCCCTTTGTTGTATGAACTCTAGGCTCTGAACTCCTGGGGCCCAAGAAGTTGCCTTAGCCTCCAGCATTGTTAGTACACTTCTATCTTAATTCTTTTTTTTTTTTTTAACATATATTGTGTGTGTGTGTGTGTGTGTGTGTGTGTGTGTGTGTGGCCAGCTCAGCCCACCAGGGGGCGCGGCTGGCCGGCATGTGGTGCTGGAGGATCGAACCACGGTCCCTGTGCTTTGCCAAGCTTGTTTCAAGTAGGTGCTTTAGACCACTGAGCCATCTCTCCAGCCCCATATCTTAATTCTTGATCATGCTAGAGGGAGGGACAGAGAGGACCAGATACTGTACCTTCCCTGAGGATAAGCCTTCTGAAGCTACCTGTACACTTTTAGAAGTGTATTTTAATTATGTCCTGAGGGGTGCTGCTTGATTTTATGTTCTAGTGTTTGCTTAATCCATCCATCCATCCATCCACCCACCCACCCACCCATCTATTTATCTATCTGTCTGGCTGTCTGGCTGTCTATCTGTCTATCTATTGTCTTACTGGAGATTGAGCTCCATTCCCAGCCCTCTTTTAATTTTAAAATAGGATCTTACCAAGTTGCTAAATTGCCTAGCCTGAGCTCAGACTTGTGATCCTTCAGCCTCAGCCTCTAAACATCAGCTTTAAAAGTTCTAACTTTAAACATAAAATTAAAAGTTTAAACTTTAAGATGATCATGGGGGGTCGGGGAGATAGCTCAGTGGAATAAATGCTTTCCTGGCAAGCACAAGGTCTTAAGTTTGATCCCTGGTACCGCAAAAAAAAAAAATTCTGAGGGGACTTGACTGACCTTATCAGATACAAAAGATGATCATGGTAGCACACACCTCTCATCCCAGTTTTGTGGAAGCTGAGGCATGAGGAATTACAAATTGAGAGCAGACTAGCGTGGGAAATTTAAAATGGCAAGACATGGTAACATATGTTACCCATTCCAGTGCTCCAGAACAAGGCAGAAGGATCACAAGTTTGAGCCCGTCCTGGGCTACACAGTCAGAGCCACACACACACACACCAAAAAAAAAAAAAAAAAAAAAATACCTGAGTTGTAATTCACTGATAGGAGTGCTTGCCTAGCTTGCGAAGTGCTCTGGCTTCAATCTCTAATAACACTCTCCCCCCCACCCCCCAGTCTAAAAATTCAGAAACAGAAGTAAATTCCTAGCTACTTTTAGGGCTAAATGCTAAAATGTGTAATACATGTGTCCAAGTTCTGGTTACCACTGCCAAAGACTGGCCCCCACAGGTCAGATATTGAAGCCCTGAGGCTGTACCCTAAGATACATTGTTTGTGACTTTCCCTGAGCCCTTGGTTCCCTTTCACTTCTAGGCCAGGTGAGCTTAGATGAAATGCTACTTTGTAATTTAAATTTCTGGCATTGTGATGTATGCCTTAGTCCTAGCTGTTGGGGTGACTGAGGTAAAAGATCTTTTGAGCCCAGTAATTCAAGTAAAGGTTGGGCAGCAAAGAAAAATTTCATCTCAAAATGAGCAAGATAAAGGTTTTCTTTTATGTCTCTCAGGTGGTAGGACTCAACCACTGAGCAACACTACTTAGCAAATTCTTTTATTTTTAAAAAAAGCCCTCTCACCTTGAAGAATACATGTAATTAGCTCCTGCCATTGGACATGTAGAGAAATCCAGTGACAACTAAAGACCATTTTGGATGTACCAAGATTCTCATACATCATTTACAGTATTGATTTCCCCTAAATGTTTCTTGTTCCTTTATCAAGACATCTTTACCCATACTGATGTGGTATAGACAAATGCCTGTTCCATTTGCAGTTCCAAATGGGGAAGCTTACCATGTACTAGAGCCACAGCAGCTTTACTCTGATGGTTTGAGCACAGTCTTACACTCCACCTCTCCCTCACACTTAACCTATTCTGTAGAGTCAGAAGTAAACAAGGAAAATGGGCATCTCACTGGATCTCTGGCAGAGGAAAGGTAGTTTCTGAGGACAAGCACTTCGCTCCTTGGGGAGAAGGGAGTGAGCTAAGCACAGTGCACAGTTCCTTCTCTCAGGCTTACCAATGGGCAGGGACTCCATTCCTGCTGGGAGATATTGGGGAAAGATCACTCCCTGCCCCACTTTTCCTTCCCTATCTCCTTCCAAATGGAGATTATTTTGTTCTGGGGGACCAGCAACGATTTCTGAGGGATACATACTGTGCAAGCAAGCTCTGTACCCTTAGGGTCAGGTCCATTCTTTCCCTATTATTGACTTGCTGTAGACAGTGCCAGCCTTCAAAGCACAGTCTCCTCACCAGGCTGCCTTTCCAGGAACCAGTTATATCAGTCACCTAATAATGAAGTGATAATTTGAAAATGCAAGTTACTAGCAAAAGACTTGAAAAAGGAAGCTAGACTTTTTCTTATGCCTGGTGTGGTGGTGAATGCCTGTTGGCTAAGCACTCAGGAATGTGAGGCTATAGTTCAAGGCTCACATGGGCTAAGTAGGCAATTGAAGGCCAGCCTGAACTACCTAATGAGACTGTCTCAGAAATATACATACATACAAGTATTGGTTTTTTTGAGATGTTACTGAACTTTTAAATATATTAATTTTTTTACTCAAACTAACATGTTCACTTCAAAAATAGAAACAATAGGTAGTTAATAAGTAAATAAAATTGAAGATCACCATCTTCCTGTCGCCTCTCTACCCTCTTAAGAATCAGTAATTATAGTTTTTATTTGTAGCTGGGTTTGGTAATATCAGCTACTCCGGAGATCACACATTTGAGACCAACATGGCTAATTTGGGGTGACTGGCTCAAAATATAATTTTAAAAGGTTGGGAGTGTGGTAAAATGCTTGTTAGGATGCAGGAGGGCCTAGGTTAGTCCTCACTACCAAAAACAAGTCTTTCATTTTAATTTCTAAGTCTTTCCCTTATACTTCTACATATTTACACCATTAAAAAGTTTCCCTTCTTCTGTAAATTAGAGTACTGGTATACTGTATACCTTCGCAACCACCAAACAAATGTTCAGCTCTGAGTATTTCTTATGTGCGTGTTTATAATCCTTTGAAATACTGCCAAGTCTGTAAATGCACACTGTTGGTGATTTATCCATCCCCTCCATTAATGACTATTTTGTTTCCATTTACCATTGTTAAAATTAGTTTGGCAACTCCCCAACTAGATCACCATTTTATAGAATAACTTCTTAGGATAAGCAGTTTATAGTTTTTATAAGAGACTTTACAATTTTCCTAAAATGCCAGTATTTTTACTCATAGAAGTATAGAACTATTTTCCAACTTTTTCTAATAAGTGATGTGTTTTTTCTGTGATGTATTTAATTTTGCTAAATTAATGAACACTGTACCTATGTTGCTTGATTATAGATGATAGAGCTATAATACAATAGAGTACAATGACTATAGAGCTACAGTATGTATTTGTTCATCATTTGCCCATATGAAAATATGTTTTTATCTGTAGAGCCTGGTATGGTGGTATATGCCTGTGATCCCAGCACTGGGCAGGCTAAGGCAAGAGGATCACCATGAATTCAAGGCCAGCCTGGATTACATAACAAGACCCTGTCTCAAAAAATTTCTTTTATCCTTGCTCTGATCTTCCTATTTAAAAAATATTATTGTCTGTTTAGGGAGGCTTGACTATGGTATAAAGCAATAAATTGAGTTAGGTAACATAACATAGTATTTTATGATAGCTGGTCTTCCTAACAAAAATGATACTATGTAGCAACTTTTTCTCTGCAGTAAATTCCAGTGTTAACGTTTGTGTTTTTGGTTTTTTCTCCACTACTAGGGATTAAACTCAGGGCTTTCCCATTGAGCTACATCCTCAGTGCTTTTTTTATTTTGGGACAGAAGTCCATACTAAATTGCCCACACTGTGATGGAACTTGAGAGGCTCCTGCTTCAGCTTCACCTTACATGTCTGTTTTCTGTTCCATTTTTTTTTTTAATTTTTTTAATTAATTATTTATTTATTTATGTGTGTGTGTGTGTGTGTGTGTGTGTGTGTGTGTGTGTGGCCAGCTCAGCCCACCAGGGGGCGCGGCTGGCTGGCATGTGGTGCTGGGAGATTGAACCGCAGTCCCTGTGCTTTGCTAAGCTTGTTCTAAGTAGGTGCTTTAGACCACTGAGCCATCTCACCAGCCCATGTTCCATTTGTTTTAACAGTTAAGGGAAGAAAGCCGGAGGCTGGCATTGGCTGCCAAAAGAGAAAAGAGAAAAGAAAAGAGAAGAAAGAAAAAGGAAGAACAAAGAAGAAAATTAGAAGAAATTGAAGCTAAAAATAAAGAGAACTTTGAACTCCAAGCTGCTCAAGAAAAAGAAAAGCTTAAAGCTGAAGGTATTTTCCATAAACAGACATCTAATTTGTTCCATGTAATACATTCTAGAAATTATACTTACTTAAATATCAGTCATTTAACAGTTTTAAGTTACCGAACCCTTTAGATATTGTATGCTTTTTTCCTTCCTCCAACTTTTTATGTGGGTTATTCTTTCCTTACATGTAGAAGTGACCTGTCTTCATGCTGCCCAGGCTCATCTCTAACTCCTCTGCTCAAGTTACCCTGTCTCCTCATTCTACAGGGTAGCTGGAACACAGGTGTGTATCATCACACCAGGTTCCCTTATTTTTATATTTTTTTAAAGAGGGTCTCACTATGTAGTTCAGGCTAGCCTCGGACTTTCAGTGATCCTCCTGCTTCAGCCTCAGGTACTGTGGTTACAGGTGTATACCACCACACCTGGTTATCAAATACTCTTAAAACATTTTGCCACATAATATGTCTTTTCTTTTTTTTTGAGCAGTGTGCATCTAAGCTATATACATTGTGTGAATTCACCTACATACATGCTTGAGTATGTATTTCTCAGAAAAAGCATTATTTTACATAAATTCAGTAATGAGTAAGGTAGGGCATATATTGGTATTTCCCAAATTGTCCTCAAAATAGTCTTTATAACTTCCTGTTACACTTGGAATAGTTCCTGGTGATACAGTTCAGTCATATTTACCTCATATTCCATGAATTCTGGAATGACTGATAACTTGTCTATTAGTAGTAAAGTAACTCCAGGGTTATTTTTTGCTTCAGATCAAGTGCTTAAAGCTAAATAGAACTTGCTAATTGAGACTGCTACTTTTACAGAAGAGCCCGAAGTCTTGACAGAGCCTCCAAGTGCCACAACCACTACAACCATAGGTATATCTGCAACCTGGACCACCCTGGCAGGCTCCCATGGTAAAAGAAATAATACCATAACTACAACCAGTTCAAAGAGGAAAAACAGGAAAAATAAAATTACCACAGAAAACGTTCAAATTATATTTGATGATCCACTACCAATTTCATATAGTCAGCCAGAGAAGGTGAACGGAGAGTCCAAGAGCAGCAGCACTAGTGAGAGCGGTGACAGTGACAACATGAGGATCTCCAGTTGCAGCGATGAAAGCAGTAACAGCAACAGTAGTCTGAAGAGTGACAATCACTCACCAGCCATGGCCACCACCCCTGCAGCCAGCAAGAAGCAGCCATCTGTGCTGGTCACATTTCCCAAGGAGGAGAGGAAGTCTGTTTCTGGCAAGGCTTCAATAAAGTTAGTTCCATTTTTTATATTTACTGTTTTGTAGTGTTGTTGTAAACACCATCTACTAAACTATCAGTACAACAAGCGAAGTAACTTTCAAGAAAATAATTCTCTAGGCTGACGTTCACTTTCAAGGGAAAAATAAGGTATTTTAGATTTTATATTAATGAGAAATCAAGTTAATCTTACTGTGTAATTTATTTTTTATTGTTAAACCTAGCTTATGAAAAGGACTGATCATAACTTCACAGAGTTGTTCATTTGTGAGACAAGGTGTCAATGCAGTTCAAGCTGTCCTTGAACTCATATAGCCTAGGATGGCTTTGCACTTGCAGCAGTCCTCCTGTCTCAGCCTCCTGAGTGCTAAAGTGCTAAGGTTCCAGGTTTATGCCATCATACCTGACCACAGGAGTTGGTAATTGTGATTCAGCTTAGCTAAAATTGACCTCAGTGTAGTATTTTAAAATTGGCTCTGAATACTGAGGAAAAGGTTTGGGTGTTGACACATACCTATAATCTCAGCATTGTGGGGGGAGCTGAAGTAAGAGGATCACTGAGCTCAAGACCCTGTGTGAAAAAGGAAAAGTAAAAAACAAGGTACTCATTTGTTCACGTTGTTAAAAAAGAGATCTAGTATTTAACACTTAAAACTGTGAGCAGACTTTCACCTGTATCCTCTCAATATAAGTATATTAAATTGTATTTCTATTTAAGCTCATATTATATTTTCACTATTACTATTAAAAAGTATGAAAGAATACAATTACATAGTACATTAATTGCCATTTAAAAATTCTGCATCTGTTCTGTATTTAATGTACTTCTTTTCCCTCTATTAGATTGTCAGAGACTATCAGTGAAGGGACCAGCAGTTCTCTGTCTACTTGCACAAAATCTGGCCCATCTCCCCTTTCCTCTCCAAATGGAAAATTAACAGTGGCAAGTCCCAAACGTGGGCAAAAGAGAGAAGAAGGATGGAAAGAAGTTGTAAGAAGGTGAGTACTTCATTTTTTCCTTTTTCGTTTCCTTTTCTTTTTTTTTCTGAGACAGGGTCTTGCTATTTAGCCCAGGCTCTCCTCAAACTCATGGTGTTCTTCCTGCTTCAGCCTCCCAATTCAATTGCTGGGGATAGTGTGCACCGCCACCACGTTCAGCATGTTTTTCTCATTCTTAAGTCCCAGTGAGCAACTCACCTCACCATTAAATTCCTCCTTCTGTTCCCAAGGTTGCTAACACATGGTATAAGGTGGAATTTAACCAGCAGATAAGACGTTGCTATATTTCAAATCGAAGAGAGTATATGTTAATATGTTGAGAATTAAGAAAGGATATGACCAATTTTAAGCCTTTGATGAACTTGTGTTCAATAACTTTTTAGAAAATGTTTAAAACTTATTTGAAAGAAGAGCTCCATCAAACCAAACTTGTTTCTGTTAACTCCTCAGTGCACTGTGTAGTTTTCCTTTGGATGTTGGACCTTGCTTCCCTTGCTGTCTTTATCTGCTTCTAGCTCACTTGTATGCACTTGCACTTAGTCCCATGTACCCTCTCTTCTGAACTACTTGAAGTCAGCATCAGCATTCTTTCTATAGGAGTAAGATGATTCTCTTCTGTATCATATTTTTTGTACATTTAATATCTGTGAGTAATAACTAGCTGATTATCATGTCCTTTGAGGGGAATAGAATTGTCAAATCTATATATAAAGAAATAAACCTTTATAAAAATATGACCATTTAGGGCCAGGATTATAGTTTAGTGGCACACAACCTGCCTCACAAGCATGAGGTCCTGAGTTCAATTTCTGGTACCAAAACAAAATAAAATATGACCATTTAATAGGCCATTTTAAATACATAAATACATGGCACATGCCTGTAATCCTAGCACCAGGGATGCTAAGGCAGGAGGATTGCCATGATTTCATTGCCAGCCTGGACTAAGTTCAAGGCCAGCTGGAGCTATATAGTGAGACCCTGTGTCAAAAAAAGAAAAATACAACCAACTAAGTACATACATAATTTACTTGTTCTGTAAAGTGTAATAAACTTTCTACCATTGACTTGTCTTTATTGAGAGTTTGTTTGTTTCTTTGTTTGTTTTGCTGTGCTGGAATTGAATCCAGGGCTTGTGCACCTTAGGGAAGATACTACCCCTGAGCCACATCCCAGCCCTCCTGCTGTATGTCTTGTCAGAGTGATAACTGCCTTGTCAGGAATTGACTTCTACCTTTGGGAACTTTTCTATTTGAAATTAAAATGTAGCTTTCCAAGTGTTGGATGGAGTTTGCTTTAAAAAAAAAAAAAAAAATTCCTTTGGATTTTCTTTTTTTTTATGACATTACTAAACATTATTTGGCCAATTTTTATATTTGTCAGTAGTCATTTTAATACCACTTAGAATATAGAAAAGTAGTTTTATTATCATTCTTCTCATTATATATTAGAGAATTTTAAAAAGAATGAGTAAACTCTGAAAGTGCCTCCAAGAAGCCTTCATTGGCTCTTGGAGGCTAGATTTTATTCCTGACCAGCATTTCTTTACAGTGTCTTTGTAAAGTACTCATGGCACAATCCTACAGTTTTCCTGTTTGGTGTCTTGTGTTTAGTATATGCAGGTAGACTCTGGGCTGCCTTCAGCATCTGCATTATAACAATGCTCATCTATACAATGTAGGCTTTACAGGGGAAGGTGAAGGATGATCGTGAGAAATAGGGTCTTAGCAAGCTGAGACCTGTAGGAAAGCCCATCTGTGTGTCTGTCTATTCATCTGCAGAAGAGGCTTACTTAACAGTAATTTATTCTTTATAGAAAACATTTTAGTAATGCCCTTTCCACTCATTTTAACAACTGATATTCATGATTTGTCTTACATTACTAATTTATATTTGAAACTTTTAAACAGATCAAAGAAAGTATCTGTTCCATCAACTGTGATATCCAGAGTGATTGGAAGAGGAGGCTGTAATATCAATGCTATTCGGGAGTTCACTGGTGCACATATAGATATCGATAAGCAGAAGGACAAAACGGGAGACCGGATAATAACGATAAGGCAAAACTTTGTTTCTTATGTTTGTCCTTTTCATTGCACTGTAGCTTAGTAAAATAAACCCATTTGAGCTTTTAGTGAAATTTCATGTTAACGATATACTTAATTAGAAACTTTATGCATGTTCAAAGAAATGCTATCAGTTTTCTCCTAGCTGATAGTCTTGTGGAGTGTTTTAAAGAGTTTATAAAGGCTCTTTTTCTTTTGCCTTCAAAAACATTCATTTGAAAAGTTTAGTAGACTTCTGTACAAGTGTGTATATATAGCAAAAGAGTGGATTATATTTTCTATGCATAAACTGTTCAAAAGGACTTTTTATGTATGTGTGGTTGAGGATTAACCCATGCATGTTAGGCAAGCACTGTACTATTTAACTACATTCTCAGCCATTTATTTTAATTTTATTTTATATGGGATTCACTAAGTTACCCACACTAGATCTGAACTTACTATCCTCCTGAATAGCTGCAGTGGTGGGCTTGTGCAACTTAACCTGGCTCATGCCGTTGGGGGAGGGGAGATTTGATCTTTGAGAAAGAGTCTCACTGTGCAATTCAGGCTGACCTTGAGCGCACTTTGTAGCCCAGGCTGGTCTTAAACTTGAAATGATCCTCCTGCCTCAGTGTCCCAAGTGCTGGGATTACAAGCATGTGCCACACCTGGCTTCATTCTTAAAATTCTGAGTATTAAGGATTGCATTGCCAACACATTTTAAGCAGTGAGTTCCACCCGTTTTATTTTTTTTATTTGTTTTGAAAGAAAGGCTCTCACTTTATAGCCCTAGCTGGCCTCAACCTTCAGGCAGTCCTCCCCTCCCTTTCCCCATTGCTGGAATTACAGTTGTGCTACAACACCTCCACTGGCTTCACTTTTGTTTTTGTGTGATATATGGACAGACGGATGGGCAGACAGACAGATGTATATAGATAAAATTTTTGCTGTGATAGGTATTTTGTTAATATGTAGAGAGAGCAAGAGAGGTTTTTTTCTTTTTAAGGGAGGATTTTTTTTTTCTTTTTAAGGGAGGATCTCACTTTGTAGTTCAGGCTGGCCTCTGACTTACAGTGATCCTCCTATTTCAACATCCCAAGTGCTGGAATTAATAGGCATTTTTCGCCATATCTGATTTGTTTTATTTTTTTAATATGGGGTATCACTATGTAGCACAGGCTGGCTTCAAACTTGAGATAATTCTTCTGCCTCAGCCTCCTAAGTGCTGAGATTACAGGACTTGTGCTACCACACCTGGCCCTGTAGCTTTTTGTGAATATGTTCCTGAAGATCCAACATTAGGGTTTGATAATAAAAGCATTTGTTGGCATTGTCAGTATTCCTTATTTTGAGATATCTTCCCAGAGGAATTATAATTATTTTACTAATAGAGTACTACTAGTGAATAGGGTCATCTCATATACCAGGTTTTAGATCAAATAGTATTTTTTAATCAACTGTAATGTTTTCCTTGTATATGTATTTTATTTAATTTTTTTTATTTTTGCTCTGCTAGGTGTTGAGCCTGTCCAGGGCCTTGCACATGCAAGTTGGAAGCCACTCTTATCACTGAGCTACACTTTCATCCCCTTTTGAATTGCTGTTAGTATTGATCAACAATTTAAGTTGATTATTGATTATATAGGATCGTACTTTTTATTTTATTTCTCGGAGTATCAAAGAGTGAACTCTTGGCCTTCACACTGAGCTGCTTTCACATCCTTTATTTATTTAGAGACAGAATCTTATTAAATCTTTAAGTTACCAGGCTGCACTTTTAACTCACCGTCTTCCTGTTTCAGCACCACCACCACCCCAGAGTGCTAGGATTGCAGGTGTGCAGTGCCATATCTAGCTAATATATGATTTTATATATAGTGGGTTTCCTGGCCATAATATATTTTACAATAGGAAAATTATTTCTTAGTCTAAGGAAATAATAATAAAATTAATTACAGAAAATAAAGCACTTATTTCTCATATATATATATATATATATATATATATATATAGTGTTAATTCAGGACAGTTTATAGCTTTATTTGCAGGCTATTAAAAAATGGTTAGAAGGTTGCTGCTAAACTTTGTTAATGTATATATTTATCTGTATACACATATACACATGAATGAAGGTAGGCTTTATATTAGAAAGTAGGGGTCTCATTGCTATCTGTTTATCAATAAAATTATGAAAAAAAAAAAGTAGGGGATATCAGGCCTAATTTTTTTTCTTCTGTTTTGGTCAACATATAGGGGTGGCACCGAATCAACAAGACAAGCAACTCAGTTGATCAATGCCCTGATCAAGGATCCAGACAAAGAAATTGATGAACTTATTCCAAAGAATCGTTTGAAAAGCTCCTCAGCAAATTCCAAAATAGGGTCATCAGCACCTGTTACCACTGCTGCTAACAGTTCCTTAATGGGAATTAAAATGACAACGGTAGCTCTGTCATCAACATCTCAAACTGCCACAGCACTCACTGTGCCTGCAATTTCTTCTGCATCTACTCACAAAACCATTAAGAACCCAGTGAATAATGTGAGGCCTGGTTTTCCAGTTTCTCTTCCATTAGCATATCCTCCTCCCCAATTTGCACATGCTTTGCTTGCTGCTCAGACTTTCCAGCAGATCCGTCCACCAAGGTTGCCCATGACCCATTTTGGAGGTACTTTTCCACCAGCTCAGTCCACTTGGGGTCCTTTTCCTGTCAGGCCTTTGAGCCCTGCCAGAGCTACAAACTCACCTAAGCCTCACATGGTGCCTCGCCATAGCAATCAGAACAGCAGTGGTTCTCAGGTGAATTCAGCAGGTTCTTTAACTTCAAGTCCAACAACTACAACCAGTTCATCAGCTTCAACGGTGCCTGGTACATCTACAAATGGCAGTCCAAGTTCACCTTCCGTCAGAAGGCAGCTTTTTGTTACAGTTGTGAAGACATCTAATGCCACCACAACAACAGTCACTACCACAGCAAGCAACAATAGCACTGCACCCACAAATGCCACATACCCCATGCCTACTGCCAAAGAACACTACCCAGTATCATCCCCATCTTCCCCATCACCACCAGCCCAGCCCGGAGGGGTTTCTAGAAGTAGCCCTTTGGAGTGTGGATCAGTGTCTCCAAATAAAGGAGCTTCTTCCTCTGAACAGGAAGCAGGTAGTCCACCAGTAGTAGAAACGGCAAACAGTCGACCTCCAAATAGCAGCAGTTCTTCTGGGAGTTCCTCAGCTCATTCTACTCAGCAGCAGCCTCCAGGACCTGTTTCTCAGGAGCCAAGACCACCTCTTCAGCAGTCTCAGGTTCCTCCCCTGGAAGTTAGAATGACTGTCCCTCCTTTAGCAACAAGTTCTGCTCCAGTGGCAGTGCCTTCTACTGCCCCAGTGACTTATCCTATGCCTCAGACGCCAATGGGATGCTCTCAGCCTCCTAAAATGGAAACCCCTGCGATTAGACCACCCTCTCATGGCACAGCTGCCCCTCTCAAGAATCCAACTCCAGTGCAGAATTCATCTGTTGCAGTCCTCAGTGTCAATCACATTAAAAGACCTCACAGTGTTCCCTCTTCTGTCCAACTACCTTCAACCTTAAGTACACAAAGTGCTTGTCAGAATTCAGTACATCCAGCAAATAAGCCTATTGCTCCCAATTTTAGTGCCCCTTTGCCATTTGGGCCCTTTAGCACATTGTTTGAAAACAACCCTACTTCTGCTCATGCCTTTTGGGGAGGATCTGTTGTTTCATCTCAGTCAGCTCCAGAATCTATGCTATCAGGAAAATCCTCGTATTTGCCAAATTCAGATCCTTTACATCAGTCTGATACTTCCAAAGCTCCAGGTTTTAGACCACCATTACAGAGACCCATTCCAAGTCCCTCAGGTGAGTTTCTGTTTTCTAGCTGGTACTCCTTTACAGAGGTAAAATGAAAGCTGTTGGTCACTTTATTATATTTTACTCTGCAATTGAACTATATATAAAGATAGATATTCTCATGTGTGTCATCATCTGTCTCTTATGTTGAGGATCGTACTGTCTCATGCATGTTAGACAATCACTCTACCACTGAGTTACGTCCTCAACCCAATAGTGCTGGAGTCAGTTAAACCAAGGGGCTATTGTGTAATGTGTGTAGTGTAGTGTAGTGATTTGTTTTGCTTATTGAGATAGCATTTTGCTATATTATCACTCCCAGCAGTCCTGCCTCAGCCTCCCAAGAGCTGTGATTACAGGCATGAGCCACCATGCCTGGCAAGTAACAGTTATATAT